CTACTACTCAGCTGCTCCAGTAGATTCCACCGTGGAGTTGATTACCAGTCTCATCATGGGGAATAACTACATCCAGCTGCCCAGCCACTCAAAACCAGGCCAAGCCAAGTTGACACACAACTTCACCACCACAGTAATATTCCATTGGATGTATGTACCACGTTTTGTTTATCCAGTCATCTGTTGATGGACACTTGAGTTGTTTCCACCTTTTGGCTATTTGTGAATGGTGCTGCAGTGAACATTGGTGTACAAGTATCAGTCTGTATTCCTGCTCTCATTTCTTTTAGGTGTATTCCTAGGAGTGCAATCATCTCGAGTGGAATTGCTCGGTTATGTGGTAATTCTGTATTTGACTTTTTGAGGAACCACCAAACTGATTTTCACAGCAACTACACTGTTGCATATTCCTACCAGCAATGCAGGAGGGTTCTGATTTTTCACATCCTTGTCAACACTTGCTATTTTCTGTTTGGTTTTTTTTTTTTTTTTTTTTTAAATTCATCGTAATGGTTAGCAAACTTTTATACTCTGAATTTATTAAGTGTGTAATTTCTGACTTGGATCCTACCTATTTTGTTGGTGTCAAATCACCCTTTTGTGTTACTAATAATTGACATTGTGGGGTTTTTAATAAGTATGTACATGACAAAATCAAACAGTGGTAATCTATCATTCCCACCACCACCTTTTATGAAAACATGTTGGTTTATGAAAGTCCAAAGTGTTGTGCCCTCCTGGACAAGATGGTTTGACGGAGGGGGTAGGGAGGATGGAGACCTTCAAGCTCCAGAGCCCCATGACTCTCAGGGCTGGGTGGGATGGAGAGACCACAGGCATGGTGTTCACCTGGTCGCTTACTCACTCTCAGGATCAGACATGAGACCTAAGTCCTTACCCGCTATCTCTTCACTGCCCTAGTGCTTGGGGGGCAGTTTCCAGGGGTGCTGCTTAGAGCTCCCTGAGCCATCAGACCCACATGCTGGGCAGGATTCAAACGGGGGAGGAGTATGCAGACACGGGATGTGTTTTACCTGGTCCTTCCCTTTTACAGAGCTTTGGTGGCATAGTGCCTAAGGCATTTGACGGCTAACCAGAAGGCTGGTAGTTCAAACCCACAGCCACTCCTCAGAAGGAAGACTGGGCAGTCTACTTCCATAGAGATACTGCTTCAAAAACCCAAGGAGGGGTCGCTATGAGTCGAATCGACTCTATGGCAGTGAGTTTGGTTTGGTTTTGGTTTTCCCTTTTGCATGGGATTGCCGTAAGTTGGAATTGACTTGGCGGCTTTGGGTTTTGTTGTTTTTTCAGCTTTGGTTTTGTTTTGTTTTTCTTTTCAGCATGTTCCAGGTGTCTTAGAGATACATGCAGTCTTCTGGATAGAGAGGACTACTCTAGAAGAGTTTATACCAGCTGGGGAAAGGGGGGCGTGTCACTGGCTAATAGCACAGGCACTTGCCTAGGCCACAGAAGGCAGCTACAATTAAGGCTGTAGGTGCCCCAGCCGGGGGAGAGGTCAGCAGGGGCTTCCCAGAGGCGTCAGTGTATCTCCTGGAATTTAGAAGACTTGGCTAGGAGCCCAGGCCTGGTGAGGTGTTGCCCAGTCTGCTCAACGAAAAGGGGACCAAAAAAGATGGAGCCTGTCCCAGGCATTGGCCTTAAGCCAGACAGCCGTAGCAGGCTGGGCTCTAGAGCAGCTGCAGGGGCGGGGGTTTGTCCCCAACCACAAGCCATCATCCCTGTGAGGGACGCTGGGGAAAGGCTGGGGACACAAGCTTTGATGAGGTGAGGGGCATTTGACTTGGCTTGGGATGGGAGATGCTGAAGAGGAAGGAGACAGGCCGTCCTACCTGGCCTTGAGTTGAAAAGCCTTTGGGAGCTGGGAAAGAAGGAATTGTCACCCTCCCAGTCCTGTTACACCAGGCCCACTCTGACTGCTTCTTTCCTTTGACTGTCAGCTGGCGCCACCATGGGCAGAACACTTAATGGCTGAGTGGTGCTTGCTCAACCTGGTCTGTAATAGGATGGCACTAATCTCTCCCCCAGGGAAGCAAGTAAGACAGTGAAGTGAGTCCTCGGAGTAGGAGCAGTTAGTCTGGAGAGGGAGTCTCGCCAGCTGATGGGTAGGCACTGCTAGGACTCACAATCCGTGAGTATAGTCGTGGTTATAGGTGGGGAAACTGAAGCTCAGGGAAGGGAGCAACTGCTTGGTACACAAGTTTTAGGGAGGTGCCTGCCCAGCACTCATGATATATACCCTGAGCCAGTTATGACAACTCTCTGGACCTCAGTTTCCTTACCTGTTAAATGGGTTTGATAACAGTACTTCCCTCATATGTTGTTATATGGAAGATGCCCAGCTCATCGAAGGTATTCAGTGATGCCTGTTGCCCACCTATCTCGCAACGCACTCCAGACACAGCTTCTTTGCCTCCACCCCTTACTGCACCTGGTGCATTAAAGGAATTCTCACTGGTTGGTGAAGTGTGGTGGTGCTGGGGTACTAGGGCCAGGCTGACATGGTGCTCCTTTCCTGGCCTGGGCTTCCAGACCAGAGCCAGGAGGTGGAGAGGAACAGCTTGGGGTTATCGGGCTGTTCCAGGCCACCTATCTGCAGTGACTCACCCAGTGCCTACAGCGTGGTGGCCTGCTGTGGGCTAGAGCTGTCTCTGTGGCTGTGGCTAAGGAGCCAGTCAATCAAGAGCTGGAAGCAAGGTCTGTTCCTCTCCCCTCCTGACCCGCAGCTAGAACTGTGAGAGGGATAAGAGTAGATGGTGAGGCAAAATGATGGGCCCTCCAGGGCTGGTGAGAGAACTTGGATTCCACAGGCCTTGGGGACCTGTGGTTGGGACCCCAGCTCCAGGCAGAGGGCTAGGGCTTGCCCGTCATGCCTGTGTCTGACCCAAGGCTACAGCATCTGAGACCCCCTCCCTAGTTCCATCCCCTCAATTTCCTGCTAGGTCCCAGGTGAGGTCCTGTCAGCCATATCTTACTGTGGGACTTCTAGGCAGAGCTGGACTGAAGGCTGACAGAGCTGCCCTCACCCAGGGCTCTCAGATGAAGTTGTGAAAGGTGTTTCTCTCTCAGATTTGGTTGGACTTTGATCAGTTTCCCTTAGAAAAAGTTAGGCCATAAAGTGCATTGCTTTGTTCTCAGTAGACCTGGAGCAGAAGTCTCTGTGCAGAGGTGAGGTGCCTTAGGCGAGGGCGTGGGTAGGAACAGGGTGTGTGGCAAATCATGTCACCCTGTTTGGCCGCCATGGATACTGTTTGCCTGCTTCTCAGAGCTGCGAGCTCTAAGGAAAGACCAGTATCAGAGGTTCAGACTTTGACAGGCTGTCCACAAGCAGTGGGATGAGGGCCCTGGCCTGTGTTTGGTCATAAATCTGGTCTTAGGAAATTGAACTCCTCAGACACACAGAGACGCCCCTGGTTGGCGTGGAAAGGGGTTCCAGTCATCATCCAGGCCACCCCTTTCCTGTCCAGGGGGGAGACCAGCCCAGAGAGGGACAGCACACACTTTGGAGAGCTGGCAAACTCCAGAGCCCATTGGAGAGCAATTTTTTTTTTAGCTCTTAGAGACCCTCAGTTCCTCTCTCTCACTGAGGTAGCTGCAGTTCTAGTGAAAAATCTTTATTCCCTGCCAACAGAGTGAGCTCAGGGGGCAGTGAGAGACTGAGAGAAATGTTTAAAGCTGAGGCTGGGAGTAGTCCGGCAGCCTTCTTTATGGATAATAAGGCTGCCACAGGAATCCCACAATTCCGGGCTGGAAAGGACCCTGGGGCCAGCCCTCCTCCCCACTTCCTATGCTTGAGTCACTGCTGAGGGGTGGTTTATGGTTTATCCTTCTAATAGTTTAACCCTGAAGGAACCTGGTAGTGGCACAATGGCTGAGTGCTCAGCTGCTATCTGAAAGGTTGGTGGCGGTTTGGACCCACCCAGCAGCTCCATGGGCTAAAGTCCTAGTGATCTCCTCCTATAAGGACTGTTGTTGTTGTTGTTATGTGCCCTCAAGTGGGACCTGACTCATAGTGACCCCTCCTTGGTTTCAGAGGCGGTATCACTAGGAAGTAGGTTGCCCAGCCTTCTTTCCCAGGAGTGGCTGGTGGGTTTGAACCTCCAGCCTTCTGGTTAGCAGTCAAGTGCCTTAGGCACTACGCTACCAGAGCTCCCCCCATAAAGATTATAGCCTAGAAAACTCTGTGGGGACAGTTCTGCTCTATCACATGGGTCGCTATGACTCAAAATCAGCTGGAGGACACCTAACACCAACAACAGTTTAGCCCTACTCTGTTGTTGTTGTTATGTTCCCTCAGTCAGACCTCATAGCAACCCCTCCTTGGGTTTCTGAGGTGGTATCACCACGGAAGTAGATTGCCCAACCTTCCTTCCTAGGAGCAGCTGGTGGGTTTGAACCGCCAGCCTTCTGGTTAGCAGTCAAGTGCCTTAGGCACTATGCTACCAGAGCTCCAGCCCTACTCTAGAGGTTGAAACTTTGACTGGGTTCAAATCCTCCCTCTGTTCCTCACTAGCTTTATAACCTTGGGCAAGCTGCTAGTCTCTGCCCAGTCTCATACTCACAGACTATTCATGACTAAGCTAAGTGCTTATAAGAATACAGTATATGGCACGTGGTATGTTGTTGGTGCTCAATATTGAGTCCCTCCTCTGAGTGTATATTAATGTCTGTCTGTCTGCACTGTCTCTCCTGCTAGCTTGTGAAATTCTTATGGTCAGGGGGCTGGGTATGGTTCGTATCTCTACCTAGCACACAGTAGGTACCTTGCCTTGCACATTGTGTGTTCATAACATTCGTATCTCCTTTGTGTGAGATCATGTATGTGCATGAGAGAGAGGGAGAGAAAGCCCCCCTGTGCATTAAATTTCTTGAGGAAAGCCTGGCACACAGGAAAGCCTGCTCCCCCAGCCCCCACCTTCCAGGCTGCGGCACCCACCTACCCACTCCAAGTAATGACCCTGTGCCCTGTGCTTGCCCTGCAGACGCCAGCATGTCTCCAGATGCCACGAAGCTGAGCCACTGGTGCAGCGTGGCATACTGGGAACACCGGACACGAGTGGGCCGCCTCTACGCGGTGTACGACCAGGCCGTCAGCATCTTCTACGACCTACCTCAGGGCAGCGGCTTCTGCCTGGGCCAGCTCAGCCTGGAGCAGCGCAGTGAGTCAGTACGGCGAACACGCAGCAAGATTGGCTTCGGCATCCTGCTCAGCAAGGAACCGGATGGTGTGTGGGCCTACAACCGTGGCGAGCATCCCATCTTCGTCAACTCTCCGACGCTGGACGCGCCTGGCCGCACCCTCGTTGTGCGCAAGGTGCCACCTGGCTACTCCATCAAAGTGTTCGACTTTGAGCGCTCGGGCCTACTCCAGCACGGGCCAGAAACGGATGCCACCGACGGCCCCTACGACCCCAACAGTGTCCGCATCAGCTTTGCCAAGGGCTGGGGGCCCTGCTACTCGCGGCAGTTCATCACCTCCTGTCCCTGCTGGCTTGAGATCCTCCTGAACAACCACAGATAGCAGCAGCTGCCGAGGCAACAGCTCTGTGTGGAGGGCCAGGCAGGGAGGCTGTGGCCACCGCCATCAGCTCACCGCAAAGGGGCCAGCGCGCCCAGAGACACAGCTCCCATGGACGAAACTCCCCAAATATAATCTACCTAGATTTAATATAAAGTTTTATATATTATATGGAAATATATATTATACTTGTAATTATGGAGTCATTTTTACAATGTAATTATTTATGTATGGTGCAATGTGTGTATATGGACAAAACAAGAAGACGCACTTTGGCTTATAATTCTTTCAATACAGATATATTTTCTTTCTTTTCTTCCTTCCTCTTCTTTGTTTTTATTTTTTAAGAAAATGATACAGCAGAGCTAGGTGGAAAAGCCTGGGTTTGGTGTATGGTTTTTGAAATATTAATACCCAGACAAAAAGCTAATACCAGTCACTCATTGATAATAAAGTATTCGCATACAGATTTTTTTTTTTAAAAACTGTCTTCTTTTTTATGAAGAGGGACCTGCAGATCTTTAGTGAGTTTTTACTCATCAGGCATCTTGCAACTGGACTTTAATCTTTTACTGGGAAAAGAATGAATTAGGGGAAGGACATATGTTTACCCTTAAGGCCAGAGAAGGTTCTGTTGATTATTCTTCCCCATGGCTGTGGGGTGTCGATAGGATGGGGAAAAGTACTCAGGCCATCCATCCTGGGCATGCTCCCCCAGTCTGATGTGGGAGGAATAGGCCCGGGTGCCTCTCATCTCTGGGGTATACAAAAAGCTATCTAACACAGCACTGTTTCTCACCACTTTGAGGAGCTGGCCTGAGGGAGAAAAATAGATCTTGAGCCTTGGACCCACCTACCACCTGCAGATCTCACCTGAGCCCCATGGAGAGAGGCCCCTCCTACGATCTAGACAGGCTCCCTCCTCTCCTCCCCTTCCATCCAGGAGCTGAGAACCTGCCCTTCCTGGGCTGTGTTCATGCCCAAGCCGGTGATTTATTTCTACTAAATGAAAGGGAAACAGTTAAGACTCTGAATGGGTAAATGGTTAACTCTTACGACAAAATCAGAGTTAGAAGTTACATCTCATTGTAGGGCCAGAGCTGTGTTTCTAGATCAGCATTTCTGTCAGAGTATTTTCAGGAAAGAAGACCTCCTTGGCCAAATAAATAGGGGGAACGCTACATTGCATATCTTCTTTCTTGAAAATCTGCATTAGCATATTAAATGCTCCTAGAAGTCCTTACTGCTGTCTAATACATAATCCCAAAGTTAGCGTCTTAAAAGAACATGCATGTATTATCTCACACAGTTTCTGAGGGTCAAGAGTCTGGGAGTAGCTTAGCTAAATGGTTTTTTCCTCAGGGTCCACGGGAGGTTGCACTCAAGCTGTCAGCCAGGGCTGCAGTTACCTGAGGCTGGACTAGGTCTGGAAGATGGGCTTCCAAGCCCACTCACTCACCTCACTCACATGACTCTTAGCAAGAGACTGCAGTTCTACTCGTGGGCCTCTCTGTTGGGCTGCTCACCACCTGACTTCCCCTAGAGCAGGTGATCCGAGAGAGACCAAGAGGAAAGCTGCAGTCTTCCAGAACCTTGTCTCAGAAGGTGATGTGCCACCCCTTCTGGCTTTCATGCACTGTCCCATTTAACCCTCACAAGAACCTCTGTGGTGGGTGTTGTTACTTATCCCATTTTACAGGCAGAGAAACAGAGGCTTATATTAATGGCATCATTTCTCCAGAGGAAGAAACAAGCCTTAAGCCAGTGATCCAGCCAGGTGGCAACTGCTATCTCAGATGCCAGCCTGGAGGTGTGTCCCTGTCCCAATTGTGATTGGCTTTGCTGGAGCAGGCCTACCTACATGAGCTGGACTGGAAAGACCCCTGGGGGACAGTCTGAGAGCCTGAGGGGCTGAACTTGGACAGGGGATGGGGTCTCCACCACAAAACCATCTTGCTGTGAGGGTCCTGACTTCCGTGCTTGGGAATTTCAGTACCGCCCCTCGTGCTGGGCTGCCCACAGGCCCTTGGGTGGCCTCTGATTGTCAAGCACAGGCTCGCCCTTTGTGTGGGTCTGAGACTCTCCAGCTCCAGCCCCTCAATTTCCAGATGGGGAAACCAAGTCCTAGACGGACAAGGCTGACTTGCTGAGGCACAAGTCATACATCCTCTCCCAGTCTTGGTGCTTGGCCATAACTCTGTGGTTTCTCCAGACCACCCAGGGATCTGGTGACTCAGGGTCCAAAGGAGACACTTTCTAAACAAGGCCAAGTCTCTGGAGAGTCATGCAGATCCTGGTCCCTGAGGACCTGAGGAAATGGTGTGGGTGGGACTTACTGCCCCCAAACCCAAGCTCTGGGCCAGTGGCGCCCTGGGGGAATTTCCTGTAATTGACTAGGTTTTTGGAGGAAAAGGGTTGGTCCCTCCTTTGTCCCCTCTCCATTCCACTCCCCACCCCCATCATCAGCCTTGGTCTCTGGTTGTGTATCTAACAATGAGGCAAGCAGAGCTGGGAGAGAGTGGGGACCTGGAGATTTTGTGTTCATACCTCAGAAGAAAAACGCAGGCAGAGAGGAGTGTGAGCGTCCCTGGGCCACACAGCAAGTTCAGGACGGTTGTTGTTAGGTGCTGGATAGTTAGGTGCCGTCAAGTCGGTTCTAATTCATAGCAACCCTATGTATAACAGAACGAAACAATGCCGGGTGCCGCACCATCCTCACAATCATTGCTGTGTTTGAGCCGTTGTTGCAGCCTAAAACCCAGCTCTCAGGTCTCCTGGTCTACCACTTTCTCTGTCCAGGCACAAATTCCACAAAGCATGGGGGAGAGCAAAGTATACAATTTATTCATCTCTGAGAGCTTCCCGATATTCCAAGCCTCCATGCCTCCCATCCCCTTCTCTGCCCTCCTAGTAAGCCTCCACCCTACACATTTCAGGGAGCTTAAAAGATCCCATAGCCTCTGGCTCTGGCTGACTTCTAATCCTGGCTTTGCCACTTAGCTGTGTGACCTTGGTAAGTTATATAACTTCTCTGTGCCTCTGTTTTCTCCTCTGTAAAAATGAGTAAAGAGTATCTACCTCCTAGGGTTGCTGGGAACCCTATTATGGCTCCCAGTGTTGTCAGGACAGAGCCAAGCGAAGCTAGTTGTCATCGAGTCAACTCTGACTCACGGTGGCCTCCTGTGTGTCACAGCAGAACTATGTTCCCTAGGGTTTTCAAAGGCTGAGTTTTTGGATGTAGATCACCAGGCCATTCTTCTGAGGCACGTCTAGGTGGATTCGTATTGCCAACCTTTCTATCAGCAGCCAAACATGTTAATAGTTTACACCACTCAGGGACCTCTCAGGGTAGACCACTATCTCTTAAACCTGGTCTATGAGACCCTGTGGAATCTGGCCCTGTCCCATCTTTCCTTGGCCAATTCCTTTCAAAATGCACACTCCAGACTTCTCCCCCCACCCCCACCCCCAGGCCTTTGCCTAAGCTCCCCCTTCTGACCACCCCCAGCCTGCTGGCCCCATCCAAGCTCTGACCACACTGAAGGCTCCTTTCCTCCCACAGAGTCTCCTGGAGGCCAGAGAGGGTGCACGTCCCATTCGCCTTCATGGCCTCAGCCCAGCCCAGCAGCGGGCACAGAGGATGGGCTCCTTGGATGTTTGTGGAATGAAGGGGTCAGGGAGGTAATGGATGTGGGCGTGTTTTATAAACTCTAAAGGACCAAACAGGCATCCAGAGTATTTATTAGTATCATATGTCTCCATGAAAGCCCTACCCATCCTCAGGCCACAGGTTGTGGGGGCTCACGGTCTGCAGTCTTATTTTTCCTTTCGCAGATGTGGTAGCAAGAATTCCTGGTTTAGAGGGGAGTCCTTTGGGTGACCTAGGACACAGACTTAGGGAACATCCAAGCTGGGAAGACCCTCAGAGTGAATCTAGTTCCATCACTATCATAAGACTGAGACCCAGAGAGGGCATGACACAGCCACACAGCAAGACAATGGCAATTGGAAGCTAAAGCCATGACTTGGGGCTCCTTCCAGAGTCATCTCTTACAGCGATGCTGCAATGGCTTTTGTGAACCTAACATTGGCCTAAGCAGAGCAGTTGTAAAGAGGAGTAAACCATCCCCCAAACAAACAAACAAACAAACTCACTACTATCAAGTCATTTCTGACTCATAGCAACCCCCATAGGGTTTCCAAGGTTGTAATCTTTATACAAGGAGACTGCTTTATCTTTCTTCCATGGAGCAGCTGGTAAGTTCGAACCACCAACCTTTTGGTTACCAGTCAAATGCCTTAAACACTACAACACCAGTGCTCCTGTAAAGAAATGTAGGGGTGCAGAATCATGCTTTTTAATAAAAGGCACATGCAGACAAAGTTTCTTTGGGGATATTGAGCCACTTGCACAAACAGCCAGGAGGAGACTGTGTGTTCCCTTGATCCGTTTAGTGGATGGGGTCGAATGTTGGGGAAGGGGTGTTCAGTCTAGGCTGACCATCATAATTAGACATGTGGGCTGAAAAAGCCTCACAGTTTGAACCTGGTAATAGTGAGGCTAAACCAAACCAAATCAAACTCACTGCCATGGAGTCAGATCCAACTCATAGCAACCCCTCCTTGGGTTTCTGAGGCGGTATCACTATGGAAGTAGATTGCCCAACCTTTCTTCCAAGGAGTGGCTGGTGGGTTTGAACAGACATGCCTTAGGCTCTATGCCACCAGAGCTCCCAATAGTGAGGCTAGTGAGCTGTAAAGTGCCCAGAATTTCTGAACCTGAGGCTGGGCGCCCCTGGTCTGAGCAGAGGGGGAAGACAGTCTTCAACTTGACCTTCTGGGATACCCAGGAGCAATGTTAGAGACCTGACTGAGTGGTACTGGGAGAGTCTGCCTCTCTTTGGGCATCAGTTTCCCCTCACAGAAGAAAAGTCTATATCAAAAGACTGGATGATGTCTTCTGGGGGAGACCAGGGACCGTGTCTCTCACCCAAAAATCTAATGCCCTGAGAGAGGCACTTATGGTAGACTTTGATGCTGAACCTGCTGAGAAAAAAAAGCCAGGGCAATCACTAGTAACAGAATTCTTGCTTTGTTCGTCTGGTCATAATCAAGTTATCATTTACTGAGGTGCTTATTATATACTAGGCACTTTATACAATCTCATTTTATCCTTATCCCCATTTTATAGGTGAGGCTCAGAGAAGTTAAGCAAGTTGCCCAGGGTCACACAGCTAGCAAATAGCACACCTAGATCTCTCTGGCTTTGGAGCTGAGATTCACATCTCTGTCCCCTATTCCCACCCACCCCTCACTCCCCACTGCTGAACTTGACTTTCCTAAGCTACCAAGTACATAGGCTTTGGAGCCAACTACCAGGCTCCTGGTCCAGATCTGCCTCAAGATGAGTGACTTTGATCAAGTTATTTAAGGTCTCTGAGCCTCAAGTTTCCTCATCTGTTAAAATGGGCATAAG